AAAAAATGTCATTGGTTCTTGCTAGGCATTTAAATTGAGGGCTACGAGCAGCCATTGGTTAATTAGTGGCATGAGACCTATAGCATGCCCTCTCGTGGCAAGAAGTGGTAGCATCAACGAAGAGAACCGGGAGAATAAAGTGTTACAAAGTATCATCTTCCAATATATTTGATCTGATCATATCATTCATAAATATTCTGTGCAATATTTTGCACATAATTTGCCTATAATTGATCCATTATTTTTGCACTATTATAAAATGAACATAATTTCTTATTGGCCAATAGATTGTTTTATTTTGCCTGCGAAAATGTCCACAATTTAAATATTTCCATGGAAAGGTAACATACATCTCGGCAAAAAATGATATTAATTTAAAGCCAATCTTGTTAAACTGCAAAAAAGAGGCAGAGAGTTCACAAACTTATAGATCCTAATAGTGGCTGCAAATTTCCTAATCCATTTTTATCATGCCTGTCTTAATAAATCAGGATTTCCGCCAATGACAAGTAATTTGATTTTGAAATTTAATTGACAAATCAGTAAAATGGTATTATAAGTATGAGAGAGATGGGATTGAGAAGGTAAAACCAGGACTAAGGTGAAATGTCGAGACAGATCACACCCACCCAACAAAATGAAAATATACAAGATACATTTCACTATCTTGTGGATTTTGACCTTTATTATTCTGTTCATCAAAAAGCCACATTTAAATGACATACAAAAAAACATACCAATAGTTAAATTATTTCTCTAGAATTGATTGATGTGAACAAATGAAGAAGTGTAGGAATAAAACACCCCCTAACCTCAGTTGATATTGAGATTATGGCATGCACTATTGAAAAACAATTATCAGTTCCCTTTGAAAGATTTTGATATTAAGTAAAAACTTTTTGAGTAATACAACAAGTTTAAACACAAACAAATTGGTGGTTAAATTTTCGCTGATCTTATGAGAACTAATAAAATTGATTTTGCATGCTAGATCCAAGAGTGAATTTACACTCGGCTAAATGTTCTGCTCCTCTATAAGTACACATTGGTAATTCAAATTTTACACATTTTTCTTTTAACTTTTTATTTTTGGCAAAACAATGAGCAATTTTACAGTGAGCTGAATAAACAAACTTAAATACAAATTTATTTCTGTAAATTATGATAATCAAGCATAAAGAAAGTTTGAGATATGTAGTTTATCCGTTATTTACAAAGTATTTACAACATTTGTACAAGGTTCAAGACATCCAATTTTCAGTATTATAAAGTACCAATACAAAAACACATAATATATATCATTAATAGTACCCCTATGACTGATTTCTGGGCTGTGTGTGCAAGAGATCTCATGGAAATCATGAAAGCAACCAACATATAAAGATTGCAGCAAAAGAATGACTACCCATTCAACAAAATAAGTCAAATATGAACATGCTATACTTTGCTGAATATTTCACAATATACAAGGGATGTTTCAATGAGATAATTACTGCTTACAAAAACATGGTTTTCAAAGTTGCATCTGTCTCCATTTACACTAATCATATTTAAAAGTAATGTTTTGTTTTGTTAGTTGATATTTCATAGTTTTAAATTAGTTTTAAAACAATAAACAAATCAAGGTAATGTAAAAACAGAAGGCTTCGATATTCTGCCCCTAGAGGGCGCTAACAATTCCAAAGTACTAGTAGCTTCTTGAGTTAGTATTATATGTAAATGATTGTTATTTCAAATTGTTAGAATATTGTTGAGTACTAAAATTGTCTTTAGTCATATTTCACATTATCAATAATCACTCATCTTGAATTTTCATACCAAACTATGTAACACCAATTTCAATAAATGGTTTGCAAATTTGTGATATGTACATTTTTTTCATTAACTTAGACATTTAAGTAAACAAATGCAATCAAACAACTATACTGCCTTTTAAAATATTTAGTATGTAGTAATAGCATAGCCTTACAAGCAATCCAAGATGTGTCACTAAGATTAGGTACCAGTATTGGCACGATATTCCAAATATATATATTTAATATATCAATAAAGAAGTAGAAATATTACTAACAATGATTCCTTGATTGATGTCTTTTTGGTGGTAGTCATAGAGAGGAATAGATAATCCACCCCAATTCACATTGTTTTATCAGTCATTGAATTCTAAATGGTATCTTTAGTTCAAGAGCACATATTCCAGTAAAGCAGAGAATAAAGTCATACTTGCCAGACTTTGAGTATAAATCCAGTGGCAAAGAAATCCATTAAAATCTGGGTGAAATGCAATTTATGAGGCAGCCACATTGTGCAATATATTGTGGATGTCCATATATAGTAATACAATTTACAGACATTCTCCATAGAGTTTAGCCACAAGACTGTGTTCAACGTCTGTAGCAATCACCAGCAACGATTCATATATTCCAGCTTGTTCAGGTTTGAAACTGACCGGTAGATGGAGATAATGTCTTGGTTTGATGGAGTATTCTGAATGACTTATTGAGAACGGTGGATGTGGGTTCACAAACTTCAACTGAAAGAAATGAATTAAAGAGATTAACCTAAGAAAAAATGTGTTATACGCAATAGCAACAACTTATTGCACAAAATAGCTTCCTGTGAGCTGACATTTCTAACATTTAAGCAGCTGATTGACAAGATATGATAATTGACACATTGGTATGATAGTAGTATGCCGTGACGATAAACTCACAGTATGTGCAACAGTGCCTTCATTTTTAATCTGTAGTTTCAGTTTAAATACATGACCAGCTTCAGTGGCTGGGAATACCAGCTTATCCTTTGGCAAGATAATAGCATGATGTGAAGAACTGCTCGAAGTAACCGCATCCAATAATGATCTGTGGAAACAAAGAATAAATTGTCAATATCATAACGAAGGAGAATTAAACAGTGAAATCACAATAATTTTGTGAGGCAGAATAAACTTGCATGTACACATGTTCAACCAAATGATGCATTAATACAAGTTATTATTGTTATTATTTTTATTATTATTATTATTATTATTATTATACATGGTCTCAGGACAAGAAAATCTGAAGATAACATGATGTATTAGAGAAGTTTGAATAAGACTGTAAGGTCAGGTCAGTTATGTCTCTGGAACAGCATTTGCTAAACAAAATGGCCACCAGTTGGCCATATTGAATCAGATCTTTAAAAAAAGCAAGCCATGCATGGCACAGTTCCCGTTAGTTATCAAATTTAAGATATTATAGTTTTGTTTATAATAATAATAGTATAATGAATATTTAAAATTTGAACATAATCAGTCACAGCATGTCAGAGATATGGTGCTAGAACCACATTCATTAAAACCAGTCGGCTATTTTGAATCTTATCTGAAAAACAAATGATGTGCATCAAGGTCCAACAATGTCCAACGTATATACCAAAGTTTGAACAAAATCCATCTGTAAACAGCCGAGAAATGCTTGATTTTGAAGATTTTTAGAACAAAAATGGCCGCCATTGGGCTATCTTGAATCAGATCGTGCAACAAATTCATGTGCATATGTATAATATCATGTATGATGCATGTGTGAAGTTTGATTGTGGTTGGTCCAGGCATTTCTAAGATACAGGTCTGGACGCATGGACGAAAACACTGACGCACGGAGGTCAAAACATAAGTCCCTGTATTTTCGGACTGCGTCCGAACGAGGACTAAAAAGTTTGAACAACTTTTTGAGCAAATGCTAAATGTGTTGATTTGATAGGCTGAATTGAATCGTGATACATGATGTATGAAACATGTGAAATTTGCACATGATTGGTCAAAGCATATTAAATATATCTCAGGATCAGCATTCCTTAAAATAACAGTTGAACTCTGGTGACCTTGCCCTTTGTTATAATATTATTTCCTTTATCATAGTTTGTTTCAATATGAATATGCATTGTCATAATTAATTTTGAATACAAACAAGTTTTGGAGTTGAAACAACAGTGAGGAAGCAGTCTACCGAATGTCCTTGATAGATGTAAATATCTTACAAAAACTTTGGTGCCTAATTTGAATGAACTGTTTGTCAAATACAGAATACATATTTTTGAGTACAATTTTCTTTTCAAAATGAGGATGCAACATTTTGCTTTTTATGTATTGATTTCGATTTGATACCTTTGAACTAAACAGATTTTTTATAAGCTTCAGATCTTGATCAAAGTTTGGCACTCAGTTCATAGGAGTGCTTAATATTGATTTTCTGACATCTTGTTTTCTGTAAAGATTTTATTGGTAGGTTTGCAAATGTGTATCAGACTGTGCAAAAACTCTCTCCATGAGTTGGTTTTAAAACCCAGTCCAGTATTCCCATGATATTTCGGAGATAAAACCAACAATATTATTACAAGATAAATGATTTGCTTCATTGAACACATACAACAATGCATATTTCCATGATAAATTTTTAGCACTAAAATGGCTGCCATTCAGCCATGCTGAATTGGATCACAAAATATAGTCAAATCTGTCTACAGAAGCCACCAAGGTAACCAAGAGATTTGGGGTTTTATAGACTGGTGGCCTTTTTTATACAGGAATGGCTAATTTATTCATGAATTTATTCTCTCAACCCATACACAAATTAAAACACAACTAAAACTAAAATTTAGTACTGTAACAATGATTTGATTTAAAATTATGTACATGTAACAAAGTTAAATTCATAATTTTCCAAATCAATATTTGTTCAGTAAAGTACTGCAAAGTCTTATTTATTAGTAAAAAAAAATCACTCTTGTTCTATAGTTGTTCAGATTTTCATGTTTCTTTTAATACTTATCATGTCGCACACACATGATAACGGTTCAAATAAATCAGAATGTTTTTCAACTATAGCAAATATTTTCAACTCTTCAATTCCTGAATCGAAACTTATATCACTTAAGAGTTTATTGTTCGAGCG